CCTAGGTCCAGAGTTCAAGCCCCATGACCAACAACAACAAAAAAAAGACATTTGTTGGGCCAGATGTGATCCTTGGGTCACAATTTATTTTTCCTTGACCTACGTGAATGACACTTTTTGTGCACAGTGTGAATAAGGTCTCCTGTAGTATAATCTAAAAAATTTTGAGAAAAATAAATATGCACTTTAGTCATCTTTGTATGACCTACCCTACCTCTCACAGCATCTGGTTCAGTGCTTTCTACATCAATATTTGTAAACCATCATTTTTTAATTTTCTGAATAAAATATGTCTGAAAATATAGTTAGGTGGGTGGTGAATGCTTGTAATCCCAGCTCTTGAGATCCTTCTCCAGAAGCAGGATTGCTAGTTGCAGGCTAGTCTGGGCTACAGAGTAGTGAGACCCTATATTACAAGTCAAATATATGTATATGCATATGTATAAACATATGTATATGTATAATTGTGTGTGTGTGTGTGTGTGTGTGTGTGTGTGTGTGTGTGTGCTGGTCCTGGGGCGTGAACTCAGCCTGGGTGCTGTCCCTGAACTTTTATGCTCAAGGCTAGTGCCCTACCACTTGAACCATAGCTCCTCTTCTGGCTCTTCTGGTGGTTAATTGGAGATAAGAATTTCATAGATTTTCCTGCCTAGGCTGGCTTTGAACCACATTCCTCAGATCTCAACCTCCTGAGTAGCTAGGATTATAGGCATAGGCCACCAGTGCCCATTTTACTCAGTGAATAATAACAGCATTTTGAGAGCTTAATAGCCATTTAAAACTATCTAGCAAGTTTATAGTAAAGTAGTTCCAGTAGGGATCATGTAAGCCCAATAATCATTAAAAAATGTGACAGGAAAATGTGTCAGCTAAAAAAAAAAATCTAAGGGTTAGCAGGCAAAAGGAGAGAACCTGACATTAGAGTTGGATCAAAGTAACAAAAAGTAATTTCAATCCTGAGCGACCAAAACCCAGGGACATCCCATGTGAATAATGCATTCAATGCCCACATTTCAATGCTAGCAAGATGTTCATGATTTGGAAGGAACTCAAAGACTAACCCAAATAATTAAAAGACTGAATGGATTCACTCATGAATAGCTATAAAAGAAGCCAAATATGTGCTTGGCTTACTAATGAACAAAATGAGATGAAGGAAAAGTTTACAATTTGCTGAAGTCTGTAAACACCAGGAAGTAGAAAAATGATGGCTGGGTCTATTGGACTCATATCTTATATGGAAATATCTCAGGCACTGATAGATTCTTCTTATTTTGGAGTCTTAAAACAGTCATAGCCTATCTGAATAATATATAACTGAGGATGCTGTGATTGGTAATATTCTATTATTGTAGGAGTCAGGATTTCTTCAAAAGAGCAAGTGTAAGAAAAATACTGGTTATTAAATAAAAAACTTAGGAATGTTAGTGTTCTGAGAGAATTAAAGACTATTAGTCCACTCTTAAAAGAATCAAATATATGTAACTGTAGGTAAGGGTATATAGTTTAGAATTATTTAAATGAAAGCACAAAGATGCAAAAATAGCTAAATATTTCTTTCCTTCCTGTTTTTCTTTAATCATTCATTCAATTATGACACATACATAATTCTTACCCACTATTTTTAAGGTCCTAACTTAATGACACAAAGAGTGATACTACCCAGGACCAATACTCAAAATTGAACAGAAAGTAAAAACTCTACAAGCTTTTGTGGATAGGATCAGGGAAGCAAGTGGTCTAAAAAGGAACTGAACATTTCAAGGGAGACTGAGAGAACTATTACAAAAATAATCTCCAACCCACATTGAAGATAGGGGGAAGCTTGAAGAGGATTCCTAAGACAGCTGGTATTTGTGCCAGGATCTGAGAGGTTGTGAGGAGATAGATAATCCAAGAAAAATCGGAATAAGAACCCCGGGTAGAGGGGCTAGGAAGGTGGCTCAGTGGCAGAGTGCTTGCCTTGCATGCATGAGGCCCTGGGTTCGATTCCTCAGCACCAGAAGTGGTACTGTGGTTCAAGTGGTAATGTGCTACCCTTGAGCTGTAGAGCTGAGGGACAGCATCCAGGCCCAGAGTTCAGGCCCCCTGACCAACAACAACAACAACAACAACAAAAAAAAAACAGAAACAGATATTTAGCCGGGCACCAGTGGCTCAAGCCACCTAACTTCTCAGGAGGCTAAGAACTGCAGATAGCAGTTGGAAGCCAGCCCAAGCAGAACAGTCTCCATGAGATTCTTATGTCCAATTAACCAATGAAAAACTAGAAGTGGCACTGTGGTTCAAGTGGTAGAGGGTGTGCCTTGAGTGCAAAGAAGCTCAGGGATGGGGCCCAGGCCCTGGGTTCAAGCCCTACAACTGACAAAAAAAAAGAAAAAGAAAAGAAAGCAAGAGAGATTTTCAAAGGAATTGGAGACAATAAACTGGTGAATCAATTTATCACAATGTACCTGAGATTGGCAAGTAGTTCAGAGTGTCTTAGAGTATAAGACAAGTGGTGATCTTAAAAATATAAACTATAATATATTAAAATTGTAAGTTATATTTATTTTCCTTCTTAATTTTTATTTCATCTGAGATTCTTCCACAGTAAAAATCACACCTTTATGTGGCCAAATAATTACAAACATTTATATACCATACCTATTCTGTACTTGACACTATTCTAAGTTCTTTACATACATTAATTGATTTTATCCACATAACAACTTCATGAGGAAGGTATTATGATTATTCCTATTTTAGAGCTGAGGAATGCAAACAGAGAGGTTAAATAATCAAGGGAATTTAGAGAGACAAAAATAGCAAGGCAGCATCCCCTCTCCCCCACCCCATTCTCTGGTGTGTGTGCCACAGCTACACTTCTACCTTTTTCCTGTTTAAGTGGAAGTAAGAGTCTCATTGACTTTCCTGCATAAGCTGGCTTTGAACCTCAGACCTCAGATCTCAGGCTCCTGACTAGCTAAGGATTACAGGTGTGAGCCCCTGGCACCCAGCCAAAGCATCATTTCTTACTTGGGTGATATCACTCCAAGTTCTGCTTCTATAAACTCTCTCACACTGCTAACTTTCAAAGAGAAGAACTTATTTTTGTATCATGGATTCCAATAATTCATCTAAAAATAAATCTAATAAATAAGGCAGAGAGAATGTCAAGATATTGCTCAGAACAGAAAAATTGATAGTCACAAAAAATGAAATAGAAATAACCTAAACACCCCACAACATGAAATTATTAACTATAACATACATGATTATGCAAGCATTGGAATTTATGATTTAGAAGAAAATAAAATGACATGTGAAATACCATAAAAATCAAAGCGAAGTGCAGAATACAAATTACATGATTATTAGTGAGGGTTTTTTTTTGCTTGTGGTTTGTTACTTTATTGTTGTTTTGAGAGAGGGCCTCATTATATAATCCAGGTTGGCCTTAAATTCATGATTCTCCCGCTTCAGCCTCCCACTAGGATTACAAATGCATACCACCACACCTTGCCCCACAAATGGTATCCTAGTAGTGTATTTATGTATATGCTTGGAAAAACACACTAAGACAATTTTGCCAGGCACCGGTGGCTCAAGCCTGTAATCCTAGCTAATAAGGAGGCTGAGATCTGAGGATCACCCTTCAAAGCCAACCTGGGCAGGAAAGTCGGTGACACTCTTCTCTCCAATAACCACCAGAAACCCATAAGTGGTGCTGTGGCTCAAGTGGTAAAGCGCTAGCCTTGAGCTGAAGAGCTGAGGGACAGCACCCAAGCCCAGAGTTCAAGCCCCATGACTGAAAAAAAAAAATTTCAATTTCAATCTTAGTTCAGCCAATTTTTAGTTTTATATCCTTGGATAGTAACCCCTCTTTACTCATTTCTTCCTCAGTAAGTGGGGTAATACAGTTGTTGTAAGGGTTAAAAGTTAATACATATATAATCATTCAAATTCTGGCTGACAAGCATTTAGATGACAACTATAAAAAAATAGGAAACCTTATAGAAAACTTAGAACTGAAGAGGGCACTCACAGTTTAAATGCCCTTTGGAAACTGGGATCCCATGATCCAACTTTGTCCATTTATTTTTTCCCTTAATCTTAAACAATAATTGGGAGTTGAATGAGATTTGGACACAAGTAGGGCAGTAAAGGACAGCCCTGCCCCCCGCCCCCCAACTCTGTCTCTCTTAAATGTAATCATCTAGGTGGAACTGATAAAATACTTTATATTATCTAATTATAATACTCTCAACCCTCTGATTGGCCTCTAATATTGGCACATACATATGAAGTCCAATGTGATCCTGAAGATAAAACCCCAGAGCCTCATGCATATGTGATGTTGTGATTCATGTATATATTGAATAATGAACAACTCAGGGTAATTAACCCAACCATTAGCTTACACTTTCATTATTTCTCTATGATAAGTACATTAAAATGCTACCTTCTATTTTGAAATATGTAATGCATTATTGTTAATTTTACTTACCCTTCTGTACTGTAGAAGACTGGAATTTATTCCCCTAATTGTAACATGTACCCATTGACCACCTCACCACATCTCCCCTACTAGCTCAGTGTCTCGCAACCAGTATTCTACTTTGAACTTCTAAGAAATCATTTTTGAAATTCTGCATGTAAGTGAAATCATGTAGTATTTTTCTTTCTGTGCTTGATCTATTTCATTGAACATAATATCTTTCACTTCCCTGTTGATACAAATAACAGAATTCCATTCATTCCATGGCTAAATAGTATTCCATTGTGTATACAGACCACAATTTTTTAAGAGTCTCTCTGCTGACAGACATTTAGGTGATTTATTGTAGTGCTATTCACAGTAGCTTATGCACTGTCTTAAGGAAGTACTAGAAAATACTAAGGAAATGAGGATATTTTCTCTCTCTCTCCCTCCCTCCCTTCCTCCCTCCCCCCCCCCCCCCACACCATTAGAAATCTGCTCTCCTTGAAAGTTTTCATCTCTTTCCTCTCTTTCTCAGGTCTCCTATGTCAAAGCTATTGATATCTGGATGGCAGTGTGCCTTCTGTTTGTGTTTGCTGCCTTACTGGAATATGCAGCAGTGAACTTTGTCTCAAGGCAACACAAGGAGTTCCTGCGCCTCCGAAGACGACAGAAGAGGCAGAATAAGGTATGTTTGGCTCTCAGGACAAAACCATGTATAGTTTGAAGCACTTAAGCATGCACTATAATTCAGAAAACAGAATATCCAATGAGCAAGAACCTGAGGGTAATTTTTGTCTTAATATACTTAATCACTACTCAGACCTTTAAAACATTGGACAATATTTTAAGATTTAATAAACAAAAACACAAGGCTTGCAGTTCAATTCAAAATTCAAGACAATAACAATTTTAGTCCCAAATACTACAGGTCATGTACTTACACTAACATTATTTGTTATCTGAAATTCAAATTTTCTATCCTCTGTATTTTATCAGGCAACTATAATTGCTCATATAGACTCAACATGAAAGTTCATTTAACCATAATTAGTATTAATACTTTGTGTATATGTGATTATGTGTACACATAACTGATTTGTTTTTTCCACCAGTTGCTCTGGTTTTAGTGGCCTATACATGTATATTACAACTTGATCAACTCAACTAGACTGATCTCATTTTCTTGACTTAAACTTTAATGGAGAAATATCAGTTTTATACTATTCAGAAGCTGTGGTTTGAAATATACAGCTCAAGATCTCCATTTAAGTGATTCCCAAACTTACCTGCACATAACAATTACCTAGAGATTTTGTAAACACTGAAATATAACCACACTAATTAAATCCCAGTTTCAGGATGGGGTAAAATCATCAGTATTTCTGAAGGTCTCCAGGAAATTCATGTTTGGAAAGCACTGCTCTCTAGTTTCTAACTCAGTCTCATACAGTATGCCAGAAATCTGGCACCTGTTTTCCATTTCAGAATCTGGGAAAGAAACATGCCTTTTGATATAGAGAATGCTACCTCCTATAGTAATATTACTAGAAGGCCACACCAAAACCTGTTCCTCAAAAAGCTGGAGAAGGTAGAGTGGACCCAAATCAAAAAGGTTTCACTGTCAATCTTAATGTTTCCAAACACCTACACTCAGTAAAACTGAGTGTTTTTTGTTAGACATAGCTTACCTGGGTTTATATGGATATGGTCTCACCTAATACTACCAATTTTTTTTTCTTAGAGTACCATGGAAAAGGGGAAATATATCCTGTTGCTGTGTCTCTTACTCAAACTAAAAAAAAATACATAGACACATCTTTCTGCTACCTAACATGGGGTCATTTATGCCACCTGGGAAATATTGTAAGATTCTGATGATATTTCAGTACATAAACTGGACATAGTTTGAATAATGCACATCATTTAGCAACCTCTTCTAGGCTCGAATGCTGCCCAAATTTCCCTCAACTTTACCTTCAATAAGTCATCTGGGACTCTTTTTTTTTTTTTTTGGGTCCGGTCATGGGACCTGAACTCTGGGCCTGGGCGCTGTCCCTCAGCTCTTCAGCTCAAGGCTAGCGCTCTACCACTTGAGCCACAGTGCCACTTCCGGCTTTTTTTTTTCTTTTTGCTTATGTGGTGCTGAGGAATCGAACCCAGGGCCTCTGGCTTGCAAGGCAAGCGCTCTACCACTGAGCCACCTTCCCAGCCCTCATCTGGGACTCTTGTGTAATAGTCATCCCTCACTATATCGCAGTTCACTTATTCCGGTTTCATTTTATTGGGGGTTAAAAATAATACATCGTGGGGGGCTGGGAAGGTGGCTCAGTGGTAGAGCGCTTGCCTTGCATGCATGAGGCCCTGGGTTCGATTCCTCAGCACCACATAAGCAAAAAGAAAAAAGCCGGAAGTGGCGCTGTGGCTCAAGTGGTAGAGCGCTAGCCTTGAGCTGAAGAGCTGAGGGACAGCGCCCAGGCCCAGAGTTCAGGCACCACAACCGGACCCCCCCAAAAAAAAACATCATAAATAGTGATCCCTCACCTATCGCAGAAGCTCTGTTCTAGAGACCCCCGCGATTGGTGAAAATCCACGATGTAGCAAAACTGTGATACAGCGAGGGACGACAATCTAACACTGCTACTTCGCGAATTTTCACCTATGGTGGGGGTCTCTGGAGCCTAACTACCATGCTAGGTGACAGATCATGTAATATTAATTCTCAGTCAACTCCCCTAGAGGCACTGATTCATAAAATTTGGGCCAGAACACAAGAATATAAATGTTTAACAGCACTGTAGGAGATTCAGATAATGAGGTAAAGTTAAGAGCTATATTGGCTCTGTGTGCTTTCTTAGACCTTAGATGAGAAAGGACTTTCAGTTTGGTTCTGAACTCTGAGTAATTAATAAGATGTTGTTTGAATATAGAGGAATTTTAGACTGAATCTGGGATCTTTGGAAATGAATTCTATGATAGATGCTTGTCATGACAGAATAAGAGTTGTCAAGAACTAGTAAAAAAAAATGTAAAACTAATGTGAACAGAGGAAAGGAAAATATGGAATAAGAAAACCACAAGTAAATCTAAAAGAAAGGTGTAATATAGAACAAGGTTTAAGAGAGAACAAAGAAAAGTGGTAGATGAAGCACAAATATCACAGTAAACATCATAAAGAAAAGTAAATTAAATGTTTCCATTAAAAGAGTGTGTATATGGCTCAAGTGGGTACTTATCTCCATTTAACCACCAAAAAACCTGAAGTGGAGCTGTGGCTCATGTGATAAGAGTGCTAGCCTTGAACAAAAAACCTTAGAGACAGTACCCAGGCCCTGAGTTCAAACCCTAGTATTATCACTACAAAAACAAACAAAAAATCCTAAGAAAATGCTGGGAGAGTGACTGAAGTGGTAGAACGATTTGTCTAAGGACGTAGGATCCCTTCATGGGACTTACAGGGAGCTTTCTCATAAAATGAACAGTATTCTGAATAAAAGAGGTTGAGATGGGGCTGGGAAGGTGGCTCAGTGGTAGAGTGCTTGCCTTGTATGCATGAGGCCCTGGGTTCGATTCCTCAGTACCACATAAGCAAAAAGAAAAAAGCCGGAAGAAGTGGCACTCTGGCTAAAGTGGTAGAACGCTAGCCTTGAGCTGAAGAGCTGAGGGACAGCGCCCAGGCCCAGAGTTCAGGCCCCACAACCAGACCCCCCCCTCCAAAAAAAAGGTTGAGAACAGAATCTCTTGATCCCTGTGATGAAATACTGCTGCCCCTACTGGCCACTCAAGGTAATAGCCTTGACCATGCAGCTTTCAAGGCCACCACTTGGCAATAGTAATAAACAACAAACAAACAAAAAACATAGGTTCTGTGAATACAGAACAAAAAAATAGAAGCTGCATAGTCTTGTTGGACAGTTGAATTATCAGGATGGAGTAATGATTTTTATATTATAATATATCTAAACTTTCATTTTCTTTTACTTTTGCAATAATCAACATTATAGAGTTGCAATAACCATGAGTGCCACTTTCTACAATCAAGATTATCTTCATCTGCATCAATTAAGTGCTATCCTACCAATAATGAGGGATGTATTTCTATCTTATTTTACAGATGAGCAACCAAAGAGAGGTTATAAAATGCTAAAAACCATATATGCAGGCCATACCCCAAGGCCCTGACCTTAACAACTATATACCCATTGCTCAGAGTTTAAGTTTACATTTTATATCTTACTTTATGAAACAGTACAAACACATACACAACTTCTAACTCATTCCCATATTTTCTTTTTTTTATAATATTTTTTATTGTGAAAATACTGTAAAGAGGGGTTACAATTACATGGGCAAGAGAATGAGTACATTTCTTATCAAGCATTGTTGCCTCCTCCTTTGTTTCCCCTTCCCATCCCATCCTCCCCCCTACCCCCTCCCCAACCCTTCTCCCCTGCCACCAAAGTTGTAAAGTTCGTTTTCTACATAAAGACTTGTACGTCTCATTGTCGCAATGGGTCCGCCTGTATTTGTTTTTTCCCTTCCCCTCCACAAATTATACCAACATCAAATACCGTGAAAGCAGGGGTTATACTGTGGGGGAGGGGCATACAAAGCAACAAAGAAATAATCTTATAAATGTGTTAGAAACAATCGCATGAAAGAAAAAAAACATTTGAATACATATCTTAGGGTTCATTTCCCTAACATCAACTTATCTGACCTTTTCTGCTTGACTCAGACATATACTAGTTATTGCAAATAAGGGAAACCATGGGACCTATGTTTCTTTGGACCTGGCTTACTTCACTTAATATAATTTTTTTCCAAGTCTTTCCATTTCCTAACAAATGGAGCAATGTCATTCTCATATTTTCTATATTTTTTAATGGTAGTGGTTAGGTAGACTCAAGACCAGGTTAAAACAACTGACATGAGTTATACAAGTACAAGGTCAGATCAAGTTATGTGTGTGTGTATGTGTGAATAGGGAGTGTAGGTCTTGAACATGGGGCCTGGTCACTGTCCTTGAGCCTCTTTGCCTTTTTGTGCTCAAGGCTAGTGTTCTACCACTTGAGCCACAGCACCACTTCCAGTTTTTGAGTGAGTAATTGGAGATAAGAGTCTCATGGGGACTTTTCTGCCCTCAATAGCTTCGAATTGTGGTCCAAATAGCTCAGCTTCCTGAGTGGCTAGGATTATAGGCATGAGCCATGGGCACCTGGCTTAGATCAAGTTTTGATTTAAAATTTTATTATTTTGTTCAATATGGATTATTGCATTAATAATAATATCATTTATCTTGATACCAAGTTTTGGCACTCTTCAGTTTTACACTTGAGGACTGCAGGTCAACAGTTCATATGCTGCTAAATTACTTTTAATAGACCCTAAATGGTTTTGTTATGAGTCACACAAAAAAAGCCAAATAGAAATACTATTTGAAAACATGGAGCAGGGTACCAGTGGCACACACCTGTAATCATACCTATATAGGAGGCTATGCCAGCCTGGGCAGACAAATTAAGAGACTTTTATCTATAATTAACCAGCAAAAATAGTGGAAATGGTGGGCTTGACTCAAGTGGTAGAGTGTCAGCCTTGAGTGAAATAGCCAACCAACAGCTTGAGGCCCAGGGTTTAGGAGTACAAGCCTCCATACCAGCACATAACACCCACCACACACACACA